TGCTTTTGGACGGATGCATGCAACACCCACTGAGTGGCATTTAACAGCTTGAAAGATCAAAGACCATTTTTAATATAACTCCGACTGGATTCGTCTGAAAGAAGAAAGTCATATACACCTAGGATGACTTGAGGGTGAGTAATTTATGGGCTAATTTTCATTTTTGGGTGAACTAACCCTTTAAGAGAGACACTTTGTCACCAGGTCATGCAAGAACATGTTTTTAAGGCTAAAGAACACAAAAACATGGAGAGTGCGATCACGGATGCACACAAAAATCTACTACTTGTGGAAACGCTAAAATCTCAACAAACCAGAATTGATGTCTATTTAAATGTAATAAAAATAGAGATGGAAATGTCCTGTAAAGAAAAACTAATTATAGGAGCCTGTTGCCACAGATACAAAAATAACACACTCACACGAGGCGGCAGTACATTAATACTCCATATATACGAGAAAGACCAGTGCATTAGCGCTAGCTGAAATGAGTCGCTACAGGGCCTGCTAATCTAGTGAAGAAGAAATAAGTAATCATGGCCTGGCAGAGTCTGCATCAAATAATTAAAGTCATAAATTAAATCCACACTTCTACACTCTCTGACCTTCTCCCAGGCTCTCAACAAAGCTTTAACACGGTCACTCTCCATCAACCCCAAAACAGCTATTGTATTAATGATTTCCCCATTAAAACGCTCAATAGAGCAGCAACTTCCAGCTTTAATAAAGCACGACTGCAAAGGGACTCTAGTCTTTGCTGAGCAGAGATCCTAAAATGCAAATCCAATTTATTGAGAAAGACTTAAACAGCATCTATGTGTTGCCACACTGATAATGAATGACATCAAAAAGGCAGAAAGCAGATTTAATGCACTGCTATTGTAATGGTAAAAAGCTGCTTGCACGGGATCCTGTAATAAAAGCCTTTTATAAGACAAAATAACAGGGTAACAAAGAGACCCTGACTTTGCTAATGTTACTTTTTCTGAAATGTAGTCCATTAAGAAATCACTGCGTTTATTGAATTTGTCAAATTAACATAAGAAAATATGAGAAATCCTCTAAAAAAATAAAACATTGTAATTTACTTACTGTTGAATCACTGATAAAATTAAATGTACTTAATTTTAACCTAGTAAACTAGTATTCCATTCTTTGTGTTTGTTTTTGTGCTTATTTTTTAAAGTTTTATCTGCAGTTATATTAGTACCTTTATTTGACAGCTCCTCCTGCCATTAAAGCAATAGTTCACCCAAAAATGAAAATGAGGGCACGGAGGATCCACTGGTGAGCAAGATTCTCCAAATCTGTTCTGATGAAGAAGCAAACTCTTCTAAATCTTGGATGGCCTGAGTGCGCGTAATTTTAGCAAATTTTCATTTTGTGGTGAACTTGGAATTGCCACCTGGTAATTGCAAGTTAAATGACAGTCAAGGTGTCCACAGATAGGCGGTAGTTGAGGCGCATCAGGTGAGATACCATATAAGAGTGAGCGCAGCCACTATGCCGTTGAGTATAGCCATACTGTAGCCCATGTGGAAAGAATGTCCGGTCATTCTTCTGCAAAACCAAAACACAAACATCCAAATGACATTAGTCCACAGCGTGACTATAACACAAATCATAATTTGATTATATCGTAAGTTGATTATTGTCCTTGATATTTTTTGTTTGTTTGTTTACTGAATGTGTTCCTGAATTACATCAGAAAATCAAGAGTCTAAACATTCAATTTCACAATGGCCTGCTTAGCAGCCTGAAAAACAAAACGGTTCTAAAAATTCAACAAGTTATAATGGGATGGAACCATTCTAGTACTAAAGCAGTCACTGCAAATTTACAGCTTTAGGGAACTTTTTGATCCTTTAAGGCAGGAATACAGTGGACGTTTAAAATCTGAACATATTTTTAAAAACTGGGCATCATACACCTGCTGACTTTGTAAATGGTTACAGAGAACATCATTCACTAAACGACTGAAAATCACACACAAGTCATTCTGAACACAACAAACTCAGGCAAAACATGCACCTTGTTGCTAAAGGTAGTATTTATGAAAACAGTAGGTGTTCTAATTGTCTTAAAATATCAAACATGTCTGATATCCTTTGGCTGGATCATTCATAGTCTGAAGGCCGTCATACACCTCACATTTTTTTCTGTGGCAATCTGTCAACTACCAAAACCCTGCAGACTGGCTCTGACATTTGGCAACTAGAGTCGACTCTTCTAGACTGCAAATCTGGGTAAAAGTTGTGCTGTGTTTTGCATTCCAGCCTTTTGTTCAGACCTGTTACCGAGGTCTGGACTCCTAACAAATCTTCAATATAATTAACGAAGCAGCTTACGCTGAGATTAATCTTATTTACACTGTGTCTGTGCCTCATTGATCATAATGGTAGTGTTAATGGTTTGTAGTGAATCCAACATAATGCTTTTCACTTTGGCTCTAAAGTAATTAATTTAAAAACATCTCTTGAATTCTTGTGCACAACTGGTGTCTGTGAAATATCACAATGCTCAACTGATGCAAAAAGCACAGTGTAAATAGAAACCTCTGATGCCACAGAAGTAGACCTAAATGAGGTACTGTAATCAATACACTTCTGTAGCAGCTATAATAACAATCTAAATTATTTATCCGATTAATTGTAAAGCTACATGATGTACTACCACTCTTTACCACTCAATCTGCCTGTTACTCTCTAGAGGTGTCCGACTCCAATGCAGGAAGTTTAAAAGCACACGGAACAAACAAAACTGAGGACAGTGTATGGAATATGGACAAGTGCATTGATCATATCAGCTGGCCATTACTCTACTCTAGTGAGCGCAGAGGCCCATAAAAATCCCATTATGAGGCATCCAGATGTCCCATGTTAACCACTCCCATTAGTCCTTTTTAATGGTTAATTTGAACATGCTTTTAGAGTAGCAGGTTCAGGAGTGCAGATCTGCACCAATGTGAGAAATTGTTCATTGTTTGTTTGTTCCATTAATTCATACATACAATGACTACAATGAGCAAGTAGAATACACCTCTTCTACAAAAATCATGTTTTTAATTTCAGAATTTCAAATGTCAGCGTGATACAACTGCCCCGAGATCATAATGAAGAAAGTCTGGAAAAGTCTTTATTATTATTACTAAATTTCCTTAATGTTTATTACTATTTTAGAAACTTTCAAATAAGAATAACATTCAAAAATGACCTGCCAGATGAAATTTATGTGGTGTGACCAACAAAGTTATGTGGTGCCACCAACATGCAGAAACACAGAATAATAAAAAGAGGACCTCTGCAAACCCTCTCATGAACGTGTCAAGGCCAATAAGCCTTTTAAAATTTGTATGACAAAGACATCAGGTTGTAAAATGT